GAGATTGGGGAGGACCGAGCCGCGGCGCGGACACGAACCACAGAACCTTGCTCCCCCGGCAGACCAGGAGGGCGGGGGTCGGCGCCGACCGGCTGGTATTTGAACTTTGCAAGCGAGGTGGATAGGCTCGGACGCTTCTGGTTACTGGATTTCATTTTCACTGTGCTCGCTTTAAAGTCGAGGTATCGTCGACCCCAAACGGGACCAAGGACCTATTTCCAGAGTTAAGGGCCTGGAAACCGGGAATTGCTTATTTAATGGGAAGAAAGGGAAATTTTCAAGTGGGAGGAGAACATCCCCAGGCCACTCTCCACTCCCCAATTGGGTTCTCCGTGGGCCCTCTTCTTACCTGGTTGCTTTCCTAACAAAGTACGAGAAGGTAAAGTCCCAGTGATCGTCCAGCCACGCTTCCACCGAGTCCTGGCCCCGCAGCTGCTGCGGCCGCCCGAGGGCCGGGCCGCCGGGCTCCATGGTCTTGGCGGCGCTCCTCCAGCGCGCGCCTCGCGGGAGCTGCTTTTCCTCCCCGGCGAGGGTCCCTCCCTCCGAGCAGCGGGACTCTTCCTTGAGACCCTCCCCCTAGGCGGCCCTCGGCCCGGTGGACTTTCGGGGAGGCAGTCCGGGAGCTGGGCCAGCCCCCCGCCCCGCCCCTCCGACTCGGTCTGGCTCCCAGGTGTGATGGGCGGGGACTCTGGGGACTCCGGCGACACTGGATCTCGTGGGCTCTCGAAAACTGGGTTCCCGAGGCAAAGCAGCTGTTACACTGTCGCGCCGCGAAGGATGCAGCCGCTGGGGTGCGCTGTGACGGAGGCGTCTCCTAGGACGCTCGCAAAGGTGATTGCATGTGTTTGCAGTTTCCCTTTGGGAAGGAGAAGGTTGGGATGAGGGGACCCTTCCGAAGGTGGCGTTAAGTGAAGTTTTATCAAAACTGAGAACTGATGCTACACCCAGCGCTCGCCTCAGGCCCAGGAGGGCAATGACTGGCCCGCGTCACTTTTCCTTTTAGCAAACACATTGGGTCGAATGGGTGCTGGGACCCACCTTGCTTCGCGCCCGTCCAGCTCAGCAACTCAAAGCGCCCCAGCCAGGACCACCAGGTAAGGACCTGGAGAGTTGGAATGTCTGGCACCAAGATTGATGGTGCTAGCTCTTATCCACGAAGGTCCAGTGAAGTATGGGGTCTAGGTGGGTCAACTCCGACAAAGTCATACCAGTACTTAATGGTAAAAATAACAATGGATTAATTGATTTTAGCATCACACACCCCTTTTGTTTCATCATTGATTTTCTGGGGGAAAGAAAAGCCTAAAAAACTAGAAAACAAGGGTGTCTCTGTACAGTTAGATTACATTGAGAAAGTGGCTCAACATGGGTGCAATCGAGAACAGCTAGTTTTGTTGGACTCTTCCTGCTGGCTACGGCGCTTTTAAAATTAATCATTTATATTTAACTGTGATGAATAGTAGGGGGGGAAATCAGGGCAAACGTGTGGGCAACCCTGCACTGCTTTGTCCTAGTTTTGCCTGTGTACCACCAACCATCTGTTAGGTTTTCAAATGGTGATCACTTGTCAGCCGCAATGGTGCTAGAACCTATACCACCAGTATTTAAAATCCTACCAGAGTCACCCCAGGTGCACAAGTTTCCACAGTTTCCAGAGTAAGACAGGTTAGGGGGGGAAATGTCTGGTGATCTACTAATGGAAATTAGCCAATGGAAAGTTTAGCAACTTCAGCATGATATTCTCCATCGGCTCAGGCACACGAACCACTGCAAGGGTGGGGAGGACCGTGCAGTATTTCGTTCTGTTTTGACAGGGTTGCTATGAGTTGGAACCAACTCCAAACCCAATAAAAACATAACTACATTCTCCAATATAGTGGCTGAAGAAGACCCTCCACGTTTGGAAGATGCTTCAATATGCCAATGATCATGAAGATGGTGCAGGATCTGTCAGTGTTTCCTTGTGTTATGAAGTCCCCAGGAATTGTGGAGTTCACAACAACTAACAAAAAACTAGTTGCTTTTAAAAAGCAACTCGTGTCGCCCTTTGTCTTCATTTGCAGAATTACAGTATTTTGCAACAACTGGATTATTTTTGACTGAATTAAATCTGGAGTTGTATGTTTCACAAAGTGTAAATAACATTAATAGCAGCAGTATACTAAAAGCGGTTTAACCGACATGCTTTGAACCACTTTACAAGATTGCAAACCATTACTCATTCCATGTTGTTGCTGTGAGGTGGCATTGAGCCAGTTTCAACTTTGAGTCAGTAGCAACCCTTTGTACGACAGAATTGCTGGGTCCTGGACCATCCTCACAATTGTTCCCACAGTTGAGCCCACTGTGGTAGCCATTGGGTTAATCCATCTTGTTGAAGGTGTTGCTCTTTTTTGCAGTCCCTCTACTCTACCAAGCATGATGTTCTTCTCAAAGTCCTGACCTCCTGACATGTCCAAAATATGTGAGATGAAGTTTCGCCATCTTTACTTCTAAGGAGCATTCTGGCTGTACTTCTTCCTAGACAGATGTGTTTGTTCTTTTGGAAGCCCACAGTACTTTCAATATTCTTAGTCAATACCGTAATTGAAATGCATTGATTTTTTTCTTCCATCCACCTTATTCAATGCCCAATGATCACATGCATATGAGGTGATTGAAAATTTCATAGCTTGGGTCTGGAGCACTGTAGCCCTCAAAGTAACATCCTTGATCTTCACCTAGTTAGAACGATCTTGCGCAGATTTACCGAATGCAATTTGTTGTGCTGCTTTCATTAGAATTGATTTTGGATCCAAGCAAGACAAAAGTCTAGAAACTTTCCATCTTTTCTGTTTAATTTTTGCTTACTTTACGCTGAGTTGTAATCCATACTGAAGGCTGCAACCCTCGATCTTCAACAGCAAGTGCTTCATTTCAAGTCCTCCTGACTTTCAATAGGCAAGGTTGTGTCATCTGCATATAAAAGGTTGTTACTATACCTTCCTCCAATCCAGATGACATGTTCTTCTTCCTATAATCCAGCTTCTCTGAGAAACACATAATTAAATGAATAACCTGAGAACTTTACATGTCTTCCAATCCCCCAGTATAATGTTTTTGTCTTTTGTGCATTCAAATGATTGCCCTTTTGTTGCAGTTTTCCTCAACTTTAGGTTTTTTTGGAAAATACAGTGTTTTTGGAAGGTCTTCTTTGTATATAATAAGTAACTGCAACCATTAAAAAACAAACAAAGCAGTAAAGTAGGAGTAATTCATCATCATCTCAGTGTTCATGAAATAGATACTGTTTTCTCACTGCTAAATTCTCCAGCCCCTGTGGAAATCCATGGATTTCTCATAAAAAGTTATGGATTATAATTTAAACTCTATCTATTAAGAATGAAGTGAATTATGGGCTTGATTAGTTTGACCACTGCATTAAATAAATACGATAATAATACCCAAAGGTCCATTTTCTCCCTTAACCTGAAAGGGTTATTTGTGTATTACAATAGAATATTGTTGCAATTATACCACTAGGAGAGTTTTTGAAAAATTTTCTGGAAAATAAAACAATCCAATAGATTCCCCCATGTGGTAGTTACATAATCTGGTGTCAACTTGCAAAGAGGTGAGATCTAGCTTGTCAATGAGGCTGAAGCTTGATGACCTCATTTGGAGGCACATGGAGATAAATAGCTCACGGGAAGCCAGAGACACTCAGACTCTCTGCTTAGTCTTCCTGCTTGACAAGACACATGGAGCTACCCTAGAGCTCTGGAGCTGAAGGAACCACGTGGAGCACTGAGATGCTTCTACTGCCACTGGATCCACAAGACTTTCCAACCACTGGCCTGTGATCCTCCTGCATTCAGCATCATTGCATGTGTTGCTTGAGTCTGAAGAGGAATTTATAGATTGGTATCAGACATATGGGCTAATATCGGACTTAATGGACTAGATCTGGACTAGGCTGGGATGTTTTCTTAATGTATAATTCCTCTTTGATATAAAGTTCTCTCTTACACATATATGAGTGTCTATGAATTTGTTTCTCTAGTCCACCCAGACTAACACACACCCCCCATCAGTGCAGATATATATAAGTAATTCATAAGCTAACGGGAAGAGGCAATTGGGAAAGGATTTACCCCAGTAAGACAGAGATTTTTAGATGGTCATTAAGAAATTGGATGGATATAATGGGCATCGGTGGAGTTGATACAACAGTTCTAATGCAGCATTACAGGAGGTTGAGTAGACCAGTGGAAACTTCTGCTGGTCCCCCAATGTTAAAGAAACTTAAACACCTGTTTACCCTAGTTCGGAGAAGGTTAATGATAAGAATTCCCACCTGGGACCATTAGACACAGAGACTCAACTCGTTGATAAGGACAAGAACTCTAACCAAGGAACTGAGAGGTAATGAGCCCACTCAGAAGCAGCACTAGGGGTATCACTGCCATAAAGAACGAAAAGCCCAAAGTTGAGTATGCTCTGAGTTCTATGTCACCATTACAATAAACCATTGAGTTCAGCAGAAAACTAAAAGTACCATGGGAGAAATGACTAATGTCAGAATTAGTGAAAATTAAGAAGTTGGAGGGTGCCTGATCTCAGCTTCATGGGACTCTGCTGGGGTTGAGTTTGCTTTTTCTTCCACCAACGTTATATAAAAAAGCATACCCTGTGACTATGAATGACTTCGCAGAGGACTATAACACCAGTTTAACATCCAAAACGCATCTAACTCAATGTATCATCTTAGTAGGATAAAGCCCAAAGCCATCGGATCATCTCAATTCATACAATAAAAAGCACTGGAGAAAATTCAGCAGTCATTTTGAAAAATCCTTAGCAATCAAGGAACAGAAAAGAAGGTTTTCAGGTTGATATAAAACAGTGTTATGAATTGATTCTAATACACTGCAGCCCTATATCGGGTTTCCAAAGTAGGACCTCTTTGTAGGAATAGACACTCTTTTTCCAGCAGAGCAGCTGGTGAGTTTGAACCACCAACCTTGAAGTTAGCAGCCCAACTGCTGTGAAAGGGGGGGGAAATCCTTAGGAAACACCAAACAGAAACTTTTCAATTTCATAAAGAGCATCTATTAAAAATGTATTAAAACGCCAAAGCCTGTGGCATCGAGTTGGTTCTGACTCACGGTGACCATGCGGGACCCGGTAGAACTGTCCCTGAGGGTTTTTAAATCTGTGACTCATTCTTTCCTCCAAGAAACAGTTTCAAAGTGCTTACCTTGCAGATGGCAGCTCAATGGGTAACCACTACACCACCAGCTAGGACTCCTCAATAAT